CTCCGCTAGTCGAATGGCTCTCTTCTGGAAACGGCTGAGTCTTTCAGGTGTATCCGCTTCTTCTTCTGGCTTGGCCTTCTCCTCTTCTGGAGGTTATGTGTGAGAGGCCTTTCCCTCTCTCGGGATCTCGACAAAGCTCTCGTCTTCAGAGGATACGTGCGCCCACATAAACTCCTTCTTATACCATTCCTAGTAGGCCTTAGTTCCTACTAATAGTTGTTTCAATCCCTCCTGTGCTTGTACCTCTTCTGATTCAGAGAGGTTGCCCGCTTTTTTGGCAGTGCTCACACCAGTGTCGGCCTTTTTTCCTGGTGTACCGGCTGTTCGTTTGCTCATTATATACAGTCGTTAGGTCGGGGTCCCACAGTCTTTCGCCCGATGTCCGGATTTTCCACAACTGAAGCACAGGTTGTCTCGTCTACGTTTCTCCCGTTTGTCTCTGCCCAGGATCCTTCCGTTACCGCGGCCTCTGGGTCGTGAGGATTGTCCGGCTCGCATCACGGAAAGATCCATTGGGTCCCCTTGATCGTAAGTACAATTCTTCCTTCCCCCATACCCGCCAAATAGAACCTTTCCGGGGTGTCGCTATTCTATCCTGAGCTCGTAGAGTCGGTTGTCCACCTTGATAGCCTTGTCTACCACTTCGATTAGAGTTGTAGGTAGCGGTACAGCCATTTTGGCTTTAACCTCTATCTTTAATCCCTGGTAGAACATGTCCCATAAGGCTTCATCTTCATCCCAGTCTAGGCGTGAGGCCACTTACTAGAATATAGAATAGTAGGCAGATGCAGATCCGGTTTGCCTGAGCTGATGTATCTCTCTGGCAGCAGTTCTTTCTTCATTAGCCGTACCGAAGATCACCTTCATTTCTCTTTTAAACTCTTTAAAAGAGTCAATGAGCCTCTTGGTCTTTTCTTTAGCCCCGTTTGTGTTCTCATAGTGGTCGCTGAGAAAGGGTTCAAACCAGGCAAAAGCTGCTCCTTTAAGATGGGCTGCGGTATAGATGACCTTCAGTCGGTTGCTGGTAAACTGTCCTTGGTTAAGGTCAAAGGCCATACGGAGTTGGATCAAATAAGCTCGAAGTTAGGAGCGTTACCTGGTGAAGGGTTCTACCCTAGCCTTGAGCTTACCATCTCCTTCTAACTGGACCAACGTACTGAGGCTAGAAGTAGCCTTAGTAGTACCACCTCTTTTTCCCAAGACAGATCTGGATGGGGATGGGGATCGAACGCTAGACATGATTGATACTATCCGTTGCAGGGTAGTCAAAGTGTTATGAACCGCTCCGAACGTCGGGTCCAAACTGGGTTTAGCAGCTGGGGGAATAGTATCAGGGTCAAGGCTAGGCCAAAGTAAACGTAGGAACT